ATATGACTTAATATTTTAACGAGGGGTTTTGTATGTAAAGTTTTCATCGTAATAATTATATATATTTTATTATACATCTAGCATGCAAATAAACACATATAAAATAGTGTGGACGATTATGAACTTTACTATCTAATCTTCTCGAACCACGAGGAAAACTAGTTGGTCAGTTCCTAGGGGGTATTTCATTCATACAAAATTCCATCTCTATGGTATCCTCCTCTTCTTGCATCTCCAATTAGTCTAGCTGCAATATGTATCTTATACTAATTGGCACGCGGACCTAAATAATTGGACACGCTAGCCCATAAAATGACAACAGACCGGCAAGTCTAAAATAAATAAGAATAAAACTAACAAGTCAATACATTCATATGGTTGACTCCATATTCATCCACTAATAAAATATTCATATATAAATGCTTTCCTATATAATATATAGTATTATATGCAAAAATATTTCAAATTTCTAGCAATTAAGGTTGTTTAAACTAATTTAGACAAATGATTCGGAACAATTAAATAATTAATTAATCTAATTAATTAATTAATTAGCAAATTTATTTAATTAAAATTAAATTTTTATTAAATACCAAATTAGAATCCAACTCTAAGTCCATAATTATAGGACGAATTTATTTAATTAAAATCAAANTCATTTAGTTAAATGGATCGAAAATTATTAATTAATCAAAATAATCAATTAAATTAATTCGCAAGTCACTTTAATTAAAATCAAATTTTAATTAAATATCTAATTAGAGTCTAACTCTAATACTACAATATAGGGCGAGAAAATTTAATTAAAATCAAATTTTAATTAAATATCAAATTAGAGTCTAACTCTAATTATAATTGAATTAATATTTTAATTTATGATAAAACTCCTAAATAAAATTAAATTCAATTTAGGATCAAAATTTGATATTTAAGTTAAAACCTAATTTTAACGAAAATATAAATAATCGTCAAATTTAAATAAAATTTTAAAATATGCCAAAATTGAAAATATAGGCCAAGCCCCTTTTAAAATCAATTTTAAAATACTTTTCAAAATTGCATTCAAGACTCTCTTTTAAAAATTGCATTTTGACACATTTTTAATTAAAATAGGACCTTCCAATTTCGTAAATAGAAGAATAGGTCCTCCATTTAAAATTACAAACCTTAACCCTCCAATCATAATTGCAGGTGGGGGCTTGCAATTTCATAAATTGCAACATAGGCCCCCGACTCCAATCACCTAAATTTGAAAGGAAACCCTAGAAATTTTCTCCATGTCTCACTGCAGCGCCAACGGCAACAAGCGCCGCGTAAATGGAATAACAGTGGTGCACCGCCGCAATCTCACAGCGGACGCACCACCGGGTATGGCAGTTGCGCCGCGTGTCACTACGATATTCAGCGCGCTGCTGCCATTTTCAGCTGCAGCACTCACCGCTGCATCTTGTCCCCGGTTTCTGCCATTTTCAGTAGCAGCTGCGATTGTCGCCGCTGCAACACGAAGTCGCGATTGTCGTAGCTGTTTCTGTCCTGATTTTAGCGAACTTCTGCGCCCTACGCCCTTGGCCAGCATTGGCGCCTTCGCTGGCGATGGTCACTGCCACGGCAGCTACCTTATCCCTTTTTCCACCTTTTAAAAAAAAATTGCTAGAAACAAAAAATTAACAATTAACTTTTGATTGTTTAAACATGTAAAATAATTTCTAACAAACACAAAATATGCTCTGATATCGCTGTCGGGAATTTACTTAACATGCATAGTGAAAAATAAATTATTTATAATTCCCACCGCGGATCTTCTTTGTATTTAGAGAACAATTATGTTTAGAATAATACATTTGATGAATTTCGCAAACTCTTTGCTGGTTCTCGAACACAAACTATAATTTATAGCTGTCCAATTGTTCAGCCTCAAATAGATTTCCACAGGGAACAAGAATGAAAACTATGATTTTCTTCTATTTTCTTGTGATAGCAATAATAATAATAATAATAATAATAATAATAATAATAATAATGTTCTATATATTTTCAAACCTTAGCAGTCTATTAGTAGATGTCCAAGTGGGCTCAACCCGTCTCTTAAACTTAATCCGGTAATTAATTCTGGCATATTAACAAACAGCCCAATTATTTAATTTTTCCAACACTAGTTAATAAATTAATTGACGAATCTCATTCTTCTGGTTCCCCTTTTGTATGTGACCAATTAGGTTCTCGATCAAGATACCTAACGACGTAAATTATTATTTTGATCTAATCAAAATCGATAAATTAAAGTACATATTTTTAATTTATCATCAATTCATACCTGTTATTCCAGATTGACGTCTAACAATCTGTTAGGGTAATACGTGTTACGAGAAATATCACGTGGTATGAAAAAATCAAACTTGTTCGTTTACCGTGAAACTATAATCATTTGGTCAATATGATCCTATCACTAACGAGATATGGATATGTGTCAATCTCAATAATCGATCATATCTTTCATCCACTATTATGTCAATGTAAATGTTAATCTCGGTTATCGATCATATCTTTCATCCCACCAATAAGTCAAGTATTTCATTATCAACTTAATCTCTTACTATCTAAGAGTGACAAATAATCTATTAATCATTCACAACCTTCATATGATTCTTGACATACCAAAATGATGTCATATTAGCTACCATTAACATAGCAACATCCAACATCACCAAAATATGACTGTCCTCAAATAAGGCACTGTGATGACCTCAAATCAAATGACCAATTCCACTACCGAACGTTAAAGATTAACCACTGGCACTCAGATAGTTATCCAAATGGAATCTCCCAAGCGAGTCTTCAATGTTTTGTTCTATAACAAAACATCCACGTCTTCATTTAAGTGTGACCACACTTTAACTTGTAAGATCGACTACTTACTTCACAAGTAAGAAATGTCACATGTAATAGTCTATTCGTAATAACGATATTTGTATCTCATTATTACTTATGATCACAGATAATTTAAAATTTAGTTATATGCAATTTGTATCTCACAATCACAACAGTTAGTGATTAGCAAATTACCAAAACTTGAATCTATAGATTCTATTATTTAATTTATTAAACATTAATTCAATTAAATAATAGATATTGCCATAAATATGCATCAATTATATATATTAAAAGTGTTTATGTCCAAAATTGATTGGATTTAGGATATAATACTTGCACAAATCCAACAAAAAAAATTTGTAAAATGCCTTCATTATAGTTTTATTTATTTTTTGTGACAAAAATATAATTTATGTCAACAACTTGAAATTTCGACATGCGTATTTCATGATAGTAATATATCTATTGCCCCAACCAAAAAACCAAAACCCAGTGGAAAAGGAATCAGTGGATCACAAAAACTAATTCTTTTATAGGCAAGACCACGTGGAGATAGGGGTGTCAACGAGCCGAGGTGAGCCGAGCCCGAACTTTTTTGGACCGAACTTTTTTATACCGAAGCCGAGCAAAGTCCGGCCAAAAAAATGAGGCTCGGCCTGAGCCTTAGCTCGGTATAACCGAGCTCTTGCTGGGCCCGGCTCGAGCTTTTTTCGATCC